ACTCGGCTTGAGCGTACGGTGTACTAAAACTGACAATCTATTGTTCTTACAAAAGAGTTATTAGCCAAAGTTCTCTTTGGACAAATAAAGAATGAGTAAGAGATTGGCAAGGTATAGGAGTCACTTCTACCCTCAACCTTCCATCCAAATTCATTAGGCTGGAATTCTTTTTTGGCTCATCCAACAATGTCAGCACAAACTGCTGGGAAGATAAGGCACAAGCAGAGTAATTCACATAATCTCTAGTCTATCTGCTTTCATAGCTTTTTCAGCAGAAGCGAGACAAAATTTGAACACCTGTATTCGGGAGCAGACGAGCCTTTGAAAAGTTGCTATACAATCAGACTCTGAAGAGGGTGCGAGTCAGGTGAGTGCAGATTGGTCCCGATCATTAACAAACTGGAGGTCAACATTCATTCGTTGCATTTTGGACTATATATCAGTAGTTCGTCATCAACAGATACCAGAAATGTTAAAAGTTTAGTAGAGATTTGGTTAAGAAAACTCTTGAGTACAATTTTATAAAAATTGGCGATTCATGTAACATGCATTTCCGTGCTTAATATTTTTGGTTTTGAATAGCAGTCGAACAAGGGATAGCGAAAACCAAAAAAGATAAAGGAAAAAAGAACTAAGAACTGCTGTTGTTACTCTTATTACCCTTTGAGTGCACGTTGTAAAAAAAATTTTTAAACTTTTTGCTTTATTCAGACTTAATCAATGGACTTTATTATATGCTATATTCGCAACACGTTGACTTGGACAGAAGATTACAATAAAGCAAGCGAGATACACTTTCTCAATTGAAGTTATGACTATGACTTGTATATGTTAAATGACATCTTTCCTTTGCACCATTTACTCTACATTCTTTTGCTATACCGAAAAAGAAACGTTTAATTATTTTGCTCTACTTAGTCGACTAAGTAATTGATGAACAATTAGCAGCGCTGTATTGTACGCAGCATCGCAGCTGTTTATGCTAATGTTAACAAATACTTCATTCAGCGTAGTCATGTGG